AAATGTCCAACTAAATGAAAAAAAAAAAAAAGTACAAGCCCCCTACAGGGACCTTAAAAGTAAACATGGATACCCCACAACAATTGATGAACAATCAATAAAAAACCTGCCCTAACTCTCACATCTTTAATACAAAAGACTTGCTATCTTCTGTTCTCTAGCATTCGACAGACAGAAGAGTGCCCATTGTCAGGCAAATGATCATACGGATGTTACCTATTATAGTTAACATGTCTATACTTCCCCCCTACCATTTCAATACTGTAATGTTATCATGCTTTGAATGGCTGTTCCCCTTCCCATCTTTAATTTTCTTCCCTTTACTAGTCTTGTCTTTTGTTTGATTCAGGTTCCAATTTCTTTAGCACCCATTGGTGCAGGGTTATCTGGCCTTCCAGCTGGAAATAGAATGATTCTGTTAAATGCTTTAACTCTTCATTAAATAACACAACTTTGGTATAAACTTGTAGATTTGTTAATTCCTTACCGGGGATTAAGTGTGGAATTTCCACCACAAGTAATAACCAGTATTTTAATTAACTTTATTTTACATACTAAGCAGAACTATTACAAGGTTCTGCATAATTGTGTAGCTCCCCTGTAAGCAATCACAGTGTAATATCTGTCCGCAACCTGTTAAAGGAAACTGGATTTGCTGCTTGGCTTGAACAATATGTCTTTCTTATGGTGAAGCCGATTGCGGATGGAGAGTCAAGTTGTTTACTGCATGGTTTGTGCACATTAATTACCATCCACTTATGCCTGTTTAAACTGAATATCCTGACCCCAAAGGGACAAATCTGGAGCATCAAGTTGTGCTTCTGTTTGTTCATCTTTTAATATTGCAGTTGAATGTTCAGTGGTGTGTCATTCATTATTGTATTTGAATTTCACAGTAGGATATTCTGTTCTGGTAATACTGTAGGTGTCCTTACTAATGGCTGTGCCCTGTCAGGAATGGACAAAACAATCAACACCTGACACATCTGTGAGCAACAGGCTATGCATAAATTAAAACTTGATATTAGGACATGTGTTTAACATCTGGGAAATGAATATACCTTGAGCAAGTCATAAAGTAACCTTCAAAAACACAAAGAAGCTGATAGCAAAGCACTGATGATTTTTTGTTTTTGTGCTAGACTTTACTGCCAACTGAAACCTGCTGAAGGGCCTGGATTGCTACCAGCATAACGGGAAAGGGATGAGGTGTGTGTGCACATACTCTGGACAGCGCACACACACATCACCCATGACAAAGCATGTACGTTTGACGAAGAAGTGGTGTTCCTTTTGTCAGTAATTGAAATGGATGCTTCTTTAAAAAAGTCAGATAATAATATATTGTTTCATTTTCAGAACTGAAAAATGTTCAAGTAGGGGTTTACTGTTGTATGAAAACTCTTTAAAATACTTATTCATCTGTTTTTTGATGAGTGATAGCAATGATACTTTAGAAAATTCCCTTTTTCAGCCTGTCATCTGTCCCTACAATATGTCGCTCATAAATGCTAAAGTAATAATGTAACATTTCCCATTTTAACTTCAGCAAGAAGTTTCTCATTTTCATAATGGTGTTTTTAACCAAAACAAAAAATACTTTCTTATCATCCATTTATTCCAAATTCCTTGATTTATATCTCCATGATTTGTTATCGTCACAGTCAGATAGTGTAAGTGCAAACAGCAGTGAGTCGTTAGAGGTCAGGCCAAGGTCTCCGTGCTTGACCTCATACTTAGGCTTACATAAAAATGTTCGCTCAGAGTTTATACTTTATTTGCATAACATTGAGCAGTGACACGGTCCTCTCGGAAACATCTTTGTGTTTGTGTCTCAGTGATCTCACAAGAGCATGTTTCAGGTGCCCTTTCAAAAGCACACTCATGTAGCTTGCTTCCATGGTAACAGGTAAATGTATACACTTATCTCCCTACAGTTTTCAATGAAAATACATTTAAATTAGTTTGTTAGTTGAGGCTAAATGAACATGTTGGAGTCCTTGTACGTGTACTGTCCTTGTAATCTGTTTCTGTATTTAAGTTATTTATAAATAAACAATTAAGAAAAGAAAAGAGTGATATTGGAAAAGTGGAAACTCCGCATCCAGGACTCTCTACCTGAAATATCTACTTTTATATGATTAAGGAATTATTTCAAAACTACATGATAAAAAAATCACTCAATTTAATAATAATTGATACTAATATTCATCCGAAGTCCCTTCATATACAGAGCGAACAAAGTAGAGCAGAACATGCAAAGACTGTTCCTAATAAGGTCAAATATATACAAGCAATATGTCTAGCTAGCCTTGGTAGAGTAACTAAGTAGAGTTTTCCCTAAGTTTTTTGTGAGTTCTGCAAGGCTGGGGAAGAGTGTGGTGCTGCATTTTAGTACAGTGGGGGGTCAATGAATAATTTCCAACTCATTTCACTTTCATCTCTCAGTTCTAAACACGGTGCTCTTTGACGTCGCTGCCTATGATGACCTCATATCTCTCTAAGTCTTGCCATACTGTAAAAGGAGAGGATTGGCTCTGAACAAGTGCAAAACATGCTGGGAGTTCAGTCGGGACCTTTTGGCTCAAACTCTAAATAGGATGTGAAAAGTAAATATAGAACATTTTTCACAGAAATAAATTATGAAATAATTGCTGGAGTCAAAACCCCATTAATACTGATTTTACTAGTAGAGTGCACATTTGGTTGAATATCAACAGGGAGTTATGGATCTTACCATCTTCAACCAAAAGCTCACATATTATGTTAGATTTGTAGTTTAACTAGTGCAGTAGTGAAACTGACACCAATTGAAATACATTCAACAAAATACTTTGACAAATAATAAGTATTCAGACCTTATTTTTGTCATTGTGTGTCTACTTTTTCACGGCCATGGTAAGTCGTGTCGGAATGGCCAATGACCCTTGGGAAAATGACGTCCCATTTCTAAACAGCTGCATGAATTTAATTATAGAGCTTGTGAGTGGATTTTGACTGCAGTATAGTAGCTACCCAGAAAATAGAAACAGCATTACCAACCTAAACAATAGTTAACACTGCATATGTTATATATGAATTACAGAATCATTGGCTGCTTTGCTGCCATATGCTATTTCTCTGTCATTTTATTTTGTATTGATCTATTTAGAAATTGTACCTCAATTAAACACTTTTATACTGGGGATACTGGGTCATGATCATTTTAGATTAATCAATTTGAAAAACATGAATTCTTGTGGGGATGCAACACACTGCAACACACAGAACCTTGTAATAGTTCTGCTTAGTGCGTGTTTCTTAGGACTTTAAAATACTGGTTATTACTTGTGGTGGGAATTCCACACTTCATCACCTTCTGGTAAGAAATGAACACATCTACAAGTTTAAACCAAAGTTGTGTTATTTAATGAAGAGTTTAAGCATTTAACTCTAAGAAATGCTTTGTTACAATTTCGTGCAACAGATCCAATAGGCTCAACCAAACGGTGGATGACATTAGTCCAACAGATGGAAAACTGAATGACCTAATTACATTTTTGAATCTGCTTACGAGCAGCTGGACTCATCCATAATATAGAGAGAAAACTGAAAAACTGAAAATGAAATGTTTCTCATGTTTTTAGAGAGAATGTTTACTGGACATTATTATTATTTATTTTAACTTGAAGGTGATCAGGCAGAATCAGTACCACATCAAGTGTGGGATTTAAAGTCAATTTCAGTGTTTTATTACATTCTTAGTCTGTATAGGATATTACTATGCCAGTAATATGTTGCCGCATCTCAAAGCGTAACTACTGTTCTGAAAAAAAACTACTTACAGAACTTTCTTAAACTCCTCAGGGAAATTATCTTAATAGGGGTAGAGTGCATTATTTACAGTTGGAAACTTGCACATGGTGGTCACATGCCACAGAATGACATGTGAGCAAGAGACAGCAGTCTTGTTTACTGAAGAGAGCTCCTTTGGTCATGTTGTGGTTAAATCACCATTGTGTTTGTTCCCATAACCAAGATACATATCACTTTGGTTCTAGTGTTTGGTGTTCTTCATTGGGGAAGTGAGATTTGTGAAAGAGAAGGAAATGTTGCAAGTGTGAATGTGTGACAGTAACTGGATGTGAGATCTTGGTTTGTTTTTACTAGGCCACTGTGGAATAGGTAAACATAGGTAAACAATAAGATGAATAAAATAAACATGCTTCATTGTCAGAATCATCATTGTGGATTTGGATATGTGGTATTAAGGGTGTCATCACATCTCTCTGTGATCAGGTGAAAGAGAACTTCCTTTTAGTGTAAAATGAGAAAAGTATAAATATTACTTGTGCTGTGTTACTGTACACATTATCTATAGGCAGTAGACAAACCAAGCCCATTTTCCAACAAGGGAGAAGATTTGTATTTTTTGTTTGTTTGAATACTTGTTTGACAACAGCACAATATATGTAAGGGTTTTTATTATCAAGCACAGTGATAGATCATTGTTCAAACAATTTTCTTATTTAACCTTTATTTAAGGAATACCCATTGAGACTAAGGTATTTTTTTATCAATGTATAAGATTGTTATCAACCACCAATAGTCATATCACACATTTACGTGTTAAAAACCCATACATACAAACAATACAGTCACACGTTTAAGCCTAAATATGTTTAAGGATTATACCAAAACACACCCAGTCGGACAATATTGGGGACACTATTATGTAACTAGGTTACAACAAAACAATAACACAAGCTGTTATTATCACACACATAGACATAGAAGGGTGTGTCATTCACGCCCGCAGTCCTATCCGCGGCCCCCCTTTCATAATAATCACAGATCTATTCTTACAAATGACTGAGTCCCATCCGCTTGCTGTGAGATCAGACTGACCCTTACGTCACAGCAGGCTCCTCCCCTTGGACGCCACGCCGACCTTATGACTGTCAGCAAATCTGACCAATAGAAACTGAAATCCCCACGTCTGACGTATCTCGTGGGCCAATCAGAACGCGGGTGGGTGGAATCACCGTGGGCCTGGCTTTCAAGCTTGGTTGCGAAGGTAAGCTCTGGATGGGTTTTTGTGAGTTTTATTTCACATTTAGGTTATTATTCATTCTGTAAGTTATATCCTAGTGCTGCATGTGCTTGTGTATTATTGAGTCTGATAAAATAAATTATGTTCGGTGGTTAACGGTCGTCCATTTAGCCTGCCTGGCTAAGTGTACATCACTGCAAAGTATCCCAATCAGAGAGAACAACGGTGATTTCCCCTATTATAACAATTGTTCTTTGATTCTGATTAATGGCTGTATTGTCAGCTCTATAACAGCCTTGTCAGTGAACGTAGACATCTGTCAGAGAATCCGGGCTGCCTTGAAACCTTTTTTTTGTCAGTTACTACTTTGTTATTGCTGAGTTACACGGTTTAAGTTGGCTTTCTCTAACAATTAACACCTCTTTTCAAACAAAGGGATCTGTCTGTAAGTGTAAAAATGCATTGGTTTTTAATTTAGCCTAGCTCCCTATAGCTACCTCTACATATTGTTTACATCTGTTTTACCGATCACAGTATACCGGCTTCACTGTCTGCAAACTGCATACTAAAAAGGCTGCTGAGGCAAACATTTTCAAGTTAACGCCCAAGTCATTATAATAAACGAATTATCTAATGTTAACATAATATTGTGTTCTTCTATATAGAGCCATCACCGCTGTGAGAACTGACTTACTGCCTAGCTGAGGAGACATCAGGACGGATACCATATCCTACCACACCTCTTCTTCTCCAAGCAGTTGGATACTGTTCAGGAACTTTTTGAAACCGGTCAACATTATAATTTTTTTTGCCTTTTTAAACGGAATGGATTTTGAAAAGACCTAACCTGGATGGTTTGCTGTCTTGTTAAAAGCCTGCTGTTGGAGTTTGCCAAGTTTTGAGGAGGTTGCATCAAGTCTTTTTGGAGGGGAACTAACTGAAAGCCGAAATATGGATCAAGCCAGCGGCGGGGAGGACCCGAATAAACCCTCTAAAAAGAAGTCCAACGAGGACGAGAGTAAAAACAAAAAGCTGGTAGGTGTTCAGACTGGCTCGTTGCTGTTGTATGGAAGAAGTGTGCAGTGAACTGTCACATCCTGTATTCCCACAAGCAAGGGTTAATTTCTCTCTCATCTCTAGTGAGCCTGAGAAAGTTGCACTACTCCATGGTAGCAAAAAGTTTGCATTTTTACCTCAGGTTATAATGGCTTTGTTGGGCACATTGCTCTGAAAATGTAGGCTGTTAACATAACATTGTATAATGTTAAAGTAAAATCAAACCAGGCCAAGTTGATACTTTTCGAGTAAATGTAGTAAACACCATGTTGTCAATACAGCACATCTCTATTTTAATGCAGGATGAGGCTCAAATAGTTATTGATGTGTTGTTATTACTTTTTAATGTAGCTGAATACAGAGAGGCTAATAGCTGTGAGAGTTCAGCTAAAGAGATATTGTTACATTGAGTGCTTTACTTTTCAAAGCACTCATGTGATTATCCCCATCAATACATCTCCTGAAAGTTCTCTGAAGAGCATTCTTGTTGTGACAGTTGGGCTACAAAGTGTTTTTTTAATACATATGCAAAGTTCAGTTACAAAATGACTCATTGCAAAGCATGATATCTACGTGGTTTGGGGTGTTTCATGAACTGCGAGAGTGTGTGTGATTGATAAAACCTATCCTCAGTCAGACTGAACTGTATTATCAGCTCAATTATGACAGTCCCAGGAGGACATTATCTATTAGATAACAAGTGACCAACTATGTCACCGACATTCATGTCAGTTTGGCTTCTCTTTTGGCTTGAAGTAGTTTAATAGTTAATGTAGAGTAAGGATTGTGCTTATTAAGAAAGTAAGCTACCCTGAGTCTGCTTTATGGGAGCTGAGATGTCATTAAGCTATTCCTGCATGCTATTGCCTGGAAATGAGATCAAGACTTGAGGTTGTCGTGGTAATAGTCGAAGTGGATTGTGTTTAAAGTCTGGATCAATAACTTCTAATCACACCCTTTGCAGTACTTGTTTAAACAGTGTCTCTTTCTTTAAGAGCAAGCGCCTTATTTGGTGGACTTTAGCCACTTTGCATTCTCTGTCTTACAGTAGGTGGAATGTAAACCTGTAAATCTCTGTCACATGTATGTCAATGCTTACACACTGTCATCAGCTGTAGAAAGCACTGGTGGAAATACAGTTTCCCTTACCAAAGACAATACACTTTGGCTGCTATTGATTATCGTTTCTGCTTTTCAACGTTTGTCAGCGTGGAAAGCTTGGCTGCTGTTGAACTTCCTAAAAGATCTCTCTGTAGCCATCAACTGACTCAAAGTAGTGTTTTAAAACAGCTTTATATTCTGCCATCTACTTTTCTATTGAGTTGTTTCTACTTTTACAGAAAGTGACCAATGAGCCAAGTTGGACAGATTGCACACACAAGGGCTGCCTGCTAATTACATTCATCAACACCTCACTTGTCTACGTAGGTGGTGTTTCTCTGGTATAAAACCAGTCCTAAAACTGTGACATATGGAGTCTAACACCACTGCTGTGTTTCGGATTGGGTAAACATTCCCACACTTATAATCACTGGTTGTGTTCAGCAAAGTAAAGGTGAGGGAAAGTGTGACCATAACAACTGCCAGACAGGAAATCCCAGAATGGACTGAAATGACATGTTCTCCTAGAGCTACCTAAAGGGTGTTGTCTTGAGTATCAACAGCCTGCAACTCTTGAATATCCTGCCTCCCAAGTTAAAAAAATCTTTGCAAGGGAATCTAGATGACGTAAGCTTTTCAGCAAATCACTAGTGAAAAGTCTCTGTGAGATCACTTCTTTTTGTTCCTTAAAGTGGTCTCAGGGCCCTGTTGCTCAATCCTCCAGGCAGAGCAGTCCGAAGCAAAGGAAGCCTGAACTGTGGCAGCTGCAAACTTCTCAGCACTTAGTTTGGGGGAGGAAGTAATCATTCATCCCTGGGTGTAGCCATGATCTGTTCTCTTTTTTTTGTCCCCACTTGTAGCTACCCCAATGTAAACTGTAGCTCCATGTTTGTCTGCATGCATGTAAATAAGATGTACATGTACAAGCTTGAAGGTACTTGAAAATGTAATCACTGAAACAGGAACTTAAAATCTGCTCAGAAATGAACATTCATCTCTTACTCCTTCTTTCTCATGGTTAGACACTTAACATTACTAATGTTACTTCTACATTAATATTTACAGTTTTTACCATATATGGGGCTAATCTTACATCACTGACATGCAGTGTAGGCTTCGTGGATTTGTTCCAGACATGCGCTAATGTCCATCATGAGCTGGATCAAAGTAGACGTTGTCACAGTCTTTTCACACTAGGAGCTGATGAAAAGTACACTTACTATTCGCATGGCTAAGAAGCAAAGTGGCCGACACTGGCACAGTTTGGTCTCAGCAAAGTCAAATCAGGCTTTAGAGGAGAAACACTGAAAGCTGTATGTTTGTTTAACAAGTCACTGGGTAGGATTACATCACAGCAGTTTCATTCGGGCTTTCGGCCCAGAATGTAGATACTCAACAACACAGACAAGGACATTAGAATATGTGTTGTTGTTTGTCTACTCTGTGATAATGTCCTTTTTGTGATACTGTAGAAAACATCACATCCATAAAAGGCAGTTGGAATGAGGTCATATTAAAGGAATTCAGAGGAGCAAGTTTGACAGAAAAGGAGACATTTTATCTTTCTGCATACCAGAGTAAAAGATGACCTCACACAGAACAGCACGAGGGAAGCGTCATCCCAGTGCATCCCTATATATATTTTTGGACTTCACATCACATACTTTATAAGTACAAGCTTATTTTAAACCTTCAATTGCAACTTAGAAAACAGTCATTTAGTTTGTGCCCTTATAGAGCGCCACAGTATCCTAAAACCCATCTAATCGATAGATTTATGATCGATAGATTTATGATTAGAAAATTATAAAAGTAGGGTAAACATGTGGATATTTTCCGGCTGAACAAAACGTGATCTGTCTCTTCAATTTGTGTCAACCACAGACCTTATTTCGAGCTATTTTCCTAAATCCTATGGAGAAATTGCATTGTTTTTTGTCAAAGGAACCGGAAGGAGTTTACTTCCGGGTTTTAGGACGCGTCACTGTGGCACTCTATACATTAAGACATTTTAATTCAAAGTGAAGTAATTCTCTCTTTACCAGAAAACTTAAACATGACTCCTTTATGATGTAAGAAGGAATGATAATGTTTCACGACTTTGCTGTCATTTTAGAGGAACAGTTGTAATATAGTAGCAGTAATATAAAAGTATATGAAACAATCCACTCAGCAGAGATTTGTCATACATCAGAGATGTTCATGCTCGAGCACACATTATATTTAACAAAGGCTTTAGTTGCACAAAGTATGTAGAATCGTGATTGCTGTTCAAGAAACAATGCTTTGTTTTAAGTAATACATTTTTGTTTATTAAACACATAATGTGTTACTACAAGTACCAGCACTTTTCATCTGCATTGTGTTTGGTAGGTATTTTCATCCTGTAATGTAATCAGTCAGTTAACAGACTGATTCATGTTAGTTTACAGGCTGTTCTTGTCAGCTTTTACTTTTCTATTATCTAGATGAAAAGGAACAAGGGTGATCTGTATCTCAAAGGTCATTTGTTGGTGTGTGAGTGGGAGGGAAACTGGTTAGGGGTTAACTGCATAACCATTATTCTACACATTTACTACACATAGGTTGAACAGTTAGTCAGCACCTTAGTTAATGAGTTCTGAATGAACATGCTTATCAAAATGTACAACTTGATTAGGATGATTGGTTGTGACCTTAGAACTAATTACCTAGTGTAATCAAACAATCTAATGTTTGCAGTACTGTACCCATTCTCACTTAACAAGCAAGTATTTTATTACTTGCAATTTGTATGCCGAGGTGAGAAATATGATGAAAACATATTAAAGAGAGTAAAATACATCTGCTTTTACGTCCTTGTTTAAACATAATTTTCGTATTAGATAATGCAGAAAATGTGGATTTGTGGTAAAGAAAAACGTAAATATTACTAAAGCTAATATAGCAAGGCACAGGGGTCATATTCATATGGGTCCCTGTTCACACAGTATAGGAATTCTGGGCAATGATTAGACAAACTGGCCAACATTTCTATTCAATAAAAGAAAGTATTTGTATTTGGTCCTGTGGGAAGTAGGGGAATATGTGCTTAGTAAAATAACAACAAGATAACGAAAAGGACACACTTTTGCTTTGAACAAAATCTATAGGTATGCAAGTTGTGGTCGTCGGTACATATTCAGTAAATGTGCGATGCCATCAGCCATGACATCTGTAGCTACTAGCTATGCTGCAGGCTTCTTTCTATTGTGTTAAAGAGTTAGGAGAGTTGCTGTGTTGAAATTAATGTTTGTTTTGGCATCACAAGTGTCTGGAGAGCGCAGGAGCTTGCTACTTGTTAGCCACGAGCTACAGAAACAAGCCAGGTGCAGATAATTATCATTGACGTTAGCCGACCCGTCTCCCAGCAACTATGATTTTTTGGCTAGGGTAACCGTCAAACTGTGTGGAAATTGTTTAGCTTCAAGGCATGGGTGGATAAGATGTAACGGAGCTTTACTTCTGACAAAAAGTGCTATACAACTTTGTCTAACCACACCCTTATGATGACAAAGAAGTTTGACAGGTTAGTAAACGCCACCATTTCAAACACTAAAACGTTACGGCCCGTCCACAAGGCGGCGTGCGTTGAAGCTTCAACGCTTCTGCCCATTCACTTTGAATGGGGTGACGTCACGCTTTGCCGAACTGCATTGTGGGGGCGTTGCTTCGCTTTGCAATGTTCAACTTTTGAAGCTTCGGCGGTAGCGTCAGCCAATCAAATCATATGCCAGTGCAAGCTCTAGCCAATCAAACCGCGTGCTTGTGTGTCCGGGGCGGGAGATTCATGTGATTGGTTGTTGGTCGAGTTTCAGACAAGCTCACCGGCAAGCTTCAACGCACGCCGCCGTGTGGAC